TATTTATTTATATATTATATATATTTATTTATATATATATATATATATATATATATTCAAGAAGATTAGTAGTAACAACGTCTCTGTGTCATCAACAACTGTCAAATCAAATAAAGAAAGTACACATCAATTATATTTGAACAATTATTATTCTCAGTTTCAAATTTAACTGGATGGATTATAAATAATAGGGACTTTATCTGTGATTATTAAACCACTTGTTGCTCTATTCCTCTACCATTTAAATTTTTGTGTGAATTTTCCCATGATTTCTAGTCGCTATGCTTTAACGAACTCCTCCTAGGGACTTTGTCAGATCCACTTCAAATTTAGTCATTACAATCTAAAGACCTTTGTGATTAAAAGTTACTCAAAGTTTTACGTTTGATGGACTATGGTGTGGCGGCCATTTTACATGATTCGTCATTAAACAACAAGTTGATGTAACTCCACTGGACTTGCTCAAATCTGTCCCAAACTTGCCATACTTGATAACACTCCTGGCCTGAGTATCGCCACCTACTAGCAACAGGAAGTCAGCGTTATGTGACAAACGGAATGACATTTACATGATGTGGTCTGCACTTGATATAGAGCAACATAATGTATGTTAGTGCGTGATCTCTAGCGCCACATAGTGGATACAGGAACTGGTGGAATATTTGCACTACATGATTTCCAACATCACATACTCCACGCATTAAAAATACGTCTAACTTGTGGGCGCACTGTCTGATGGTCGTAGATATTTATGGCCGCATCTGCCGGTGTCCCGCCAGTACCCTCGACATGTGGGAGGATGCGAGGGCCCGTACATCGCTGCTCGCAGCTTTAATTCATATTATATCAGGTGTTCAATCTAGAGACCTGGCTTTAGGATTGTAGATTCTACAATTTTTCATCAGATTGAGTCATTTTCTCATGTTTGTCTATGAGGCAAATACATGCTATTTTCCTCATTTCCACTAGGGACATTGCTGCTGTATTATGGAGCTCTACAGTGTTTGAGGTAATGCATCAAAATCAAAGTTGATGCTGATCATTGACATATCCAAGTCGGTGAAAAAAAGAATCCCCCTATATGTACACAGTAAAATATAAAATTTTTGTGGGATTTTTTTGTCACAAAAACTATTGAAGAAAAAATGTAACACTAAAACAAAATGTAACACTATTCTATTTCATTGTTTAAACTGTGTATTTTTGTTATTTTCTTTTCTTATATTCTTATATTTAATATGTTCTTCTCTGTTATTTTATTGTATATATTGTGCATTTTTTATACTTAATATTGTTACTCTGTTACTTTGTTTGCTGAAGTATATCTTTGCTGCTGTAACATACAAATTTCCCCCTGGGGATGAATACAGTATAAATCTAACGGTCATCATCTATCTATCTAAAGAGTTAAAATCTGCACATTAATTCATATTTGGTAGTTATGATCAGGACAGAGGTTGGTAAAAGATTTAACTCTTTAACAACAATAATAATATACAGTATTTTTATGTATCTTAGTGATTTCTTGTGATTCAGTGTCTACTATACAAGAAAACAAATATTGATTTATATTTCTAAATTATAAATGGCAATTATATCAGCAATGTGTTCATTTCAGAACACAGACCTATTGATATACAAATCATTGAATCGATATGTCTTTTAAAAAACTTCCATTCATGTTTTTTGTTATTGCTGTGATCATGAAATCTAAAGGAGTAATTATATATTCTTATCATCAAATTCAATGTTGGTGATGAAAACAAGCTATATCTTTAATAGGAATGACATCACTGAAAATATGGAAACAATTGGACCACCTGGGGCAGCTAAGAAGTGGTACTCAACACAGAGTCAGCTGCTGTCTAACAAGCTCGTGCAAATGCAAATAGAGGCACACTCACAACAGAAGCAATTAATGAGCATGAAGAGTGAAATTTGTCTGAAATAGTCAGGCTGGTCCCAGCATTTAAAGCTATACCTACTGTATGTAAAATAATGCACCGTTATTAAAATAATGCACCTTTTCGTGGGATACCTACAAATGCAATAATGCATTCGTAGGTATCCCACGAAATCATTTCGTATGTTATCCATGTTATCATGAATGAGGCTGATGGGTCCAACAAACACCGATCTTTCAGCAAGGAGACCGACGTTTGCTCCTCGTGTGAAATGAGAAGTCAATGTTGATTTACTTGTCACGTAACTTGTGAAATGTAGCCACGGCACTTCCGTGGCTATTTTAACCCAAACGACGATCTTTTTCAAAACCTAACTAAGTATGTTTGTTGCCTTAACCTCACAACATATTTCACAATCTTTTCATAAACCTAACCAAGTAGCATTAGTTTCCTGTGAAGACGGAAGTTTATTTTGAAAAGACCGCAAGTATGTAAATAGCCGAAATTGAAGCTCAGAAAACATACAAAAAATAGTAACTTTTCGTAAGATATCATACGAACTGTTGAAGTATATGGATATGTTGATAGAGCTGGTGTGAATAACTGAGTGTAGAGAAGAAATGATACAAAAACTATTTACGAGAGATATGGAGATGGATGCATGAATAGACTTAGTTAAATTATTAAAATTACTTATCCTTATACCAACATGTAATCATGAGTAAATATTAAATTAGTAAATAAAATGCCCAGGCACTTCTCTTGTAATTGATCCACATATTGATGGTTTTCCCATTTTCTTTGGGTTATCACTGAACACGGTCCCACATACCTCCAGAATAGCAGAGCTGTTGAAGTTGACATCCAGCGAGTCATCCGTTACACTGTCTATCCATGGGTCTGGAGGGGGGAGAATGGATGGGTCAAAGCCCACATCATCATAATCATCGGAGGCACAGGCGTGGTAGTGGTTCCCTGAGCCCTGGATGCTGACGGTAGAGGTGGCAGCATCGCGGGAGTATTGTCGAGAGAGGGCACCGGATGACAGGACTTCCATGTCGGTGTCTGAGGAGTCCAGAGGGGTGTCCAGCAGGTCCGGCATGTCCATATCTGCCTGAATGGAATAATGCATAAATCTCAATGAGTTGTTAGAGTGGTAACAGTCTGTTAAGTCTTTGTCTGACCACTCACTTCCTAATTATATTCAGTCTAATTGGCCCGGGTAGAACTTGATTGTAGTGCTGCACCATTTTGGATAGGGTTGAATAACTCTGGGTCTATTTTTCCAGCTGTCCTTGAGTTCCTCTTTGAAGAAGTGTCTTTTCTCTTTAAAAAAAAGTTTTTATACGCATCCCATGCTGATACAGATTAATTTCAGATGGATTCCCAATTTTGGTCCCTTACTGCCCGTAGCTTCATAACCACAATCTGAAAGCTTTGCAAGGAAAATGTGCCCATCACTGTGTTCAGTGGACAGTTAAGTGCTGTTTTAAGGCTCTTCACGAGAATTGGAAATATGTAATGTATGCGTAGAAAGAAAAGATCTACTATCATGGACTGAAATGAAACACCCTCATCCTTCAAACACTAAATGATCTGAGAGGACCCACAGAGTTGTTAACTCTGTCTAACTATAGACATTTTTGTAACTAATAAACAGACAGTGGACAGACACAAAAAACACAAGTGCTGTGGAGGAGGTAATGATTTGAGTGGGGTAACTCGATAACAAAACAGCAGTGGTGGAAGCTTACCTGTACAGCTGCTGTCACACTGTTGGAACGCTGGAACCGACGATACCTGAAGACAAGAGAGAGACAGAAAACACTTAACACCAAGATTTTTTTCATGTCTGCTCTGAGGGATCAATTTCATGATTCAAGTGGTGTTGATGAAATAAGGCTTCCATTTAAAAAAAATTGGTCACAGGTCCCAATTGACCCTTCGCTAAGCCTCGCTCCTGCTACTCCATCAAACTGCCAGAGTTACCATGGAGCCCACAATGTCACTATCTGCACTCCCTGAAGAAATATGATCAAATTCTTGAAAAAATTTGAAAAGTTATTTCAGAGAGAAGGGTCTACAATATGTGTTTGAAGGATATATCCAGGATGTCTAAGTGATTCAGCAGTGAAGACATGTTAAAAAGATAAAGATAGAAGCCAAAGCTACATGTCACAGTGTAAAAGTGAACCACCACATCACATGGTGATCCAGACAGACGACAATGAAATAAAGGAACAGCTGTTCCTCTTTATTCACTGTTACAATCATTAAAAAGCAGAAGCAACATGTAGACATTCAGAGTATACCTTCAGTGACTAACGTAGCATAAAAATGCTAACGCTAGTTACAAATTTGATAATGTTAGCTCCACAGATTTTTAATGTTGATACGCAACGTTTTAGAAACGTATATCTCCTTCCAACCTCTCCAGGTAACGAGTATCACTATCACACAACGGTTAACCATGACGAGCTCCAAATCCACTAAACCAGCCTGAAGATGAAGAACATCTGAAATCATTGATGAGAGTCTCTGGAGCAGAGTTGGATAGTTGACCCTGGTCAAAGCCACTGCACCTCTATGATTAGCCAGTCTGCTTTTGAGGGCGGGACTTAGTGAAGGGTCAATTCACAGACCCTAAACGAATCGTTTTAAAACGAAAACGATCTCTGTCCACATGGCGTTTCAGCATCGTTTTCGAAATGATCTCCATTCAGATTAAAACGCCTGAAAACGAATATCACGTGACTCTTCACGTACACTGGGCATGATGGTGACGGTGTAAACAGGAAGTAGAATGGTTGCTAAGTTAAAAAAATAAGATTATTAATAAGTCTTTAATAATGAAAGGTCGTGTTTGATACTTAAGATCCTCTCTAAAATCTTCCTCTATAAACTCAAACACACACAGTTTGTGGAAAGTTTTAGAAGTTTTATTTTTCAGACTTAGTTACAGCGCTGCGAGTCTTGCTCTCTCTCTCTCTCACATCAAATTCACTTTAAAATCAACACTTACACATAAAGGTTTACTAGATTATGGGTCCATCAATGTGGTCAACACACGTCTCTCACTCGTTCCCTCGGTTTTGTTGTTCTCACTCGTAGCTCTGCTGGTGTCTGAAGTCTCTGTCCTACTGGAGAGCAATTCCTGCTTTTGTTCCTTTACATTTTATCTGCGGACTTCACAATAGTTGTGCAGAACAAAATAAGCATTAATAAGGACAGGAAAGTCCTCCGTTTTGTGTCCATCACCCTCCCTAAAGCCGTTAACCGTGACTTCAGACGTCCTCCGTAGGTCTGATAACGCCGCTGGTCACAACGCTTGCTAATCGCTACAATAACAGCTGCTTCCTCCGTAATAATGCAGACTTTAACTGAACAGCTGCTAGTAAAGACAACAAGGTAAGCATCACCTGTGATCAGTTGTCCATGTTAAATTAAGCTGGTAGTCGATCGGTAATCAAGGCTGTTGTTGTTTGTGAATTTCCGGGTAAGGGTCACGTGATGGGGGTGTGACAAATCAGGGAAGGACACGTCATGACTGCTAAGAACCAATCAAGTAGCGAACACGTGATCGTTTCCACGTGATGTATGCGTTTACCCCGTCCACATAACAAAGCAACCCCGGAGTTTTCAAACTTATCCATCCTCGGGAGCGTTTTCAAACTCCTCCGTTTTCGGAGTTGGAAAACGCCGGCGTAGTGTGGACGCTCAGTGTAAACGTAGCAAAACATATGTGTTTTCAAATGGAAACGGTGATACGTGTGGACACGGCCTCAGGCTTTGACAAAAAATAACATGGAAATAAATAACTGTTATTTTTAGATTATTTTTTGCAGTCAACAATCTTTCAAAGGGAACAGCTCTTATCTTGGAGTTTGTGGTGATACTGTCACTGAAATTAGCAATAAAATGTCAAGAATTGTCTTTATTCTTGTTCTATAATTTCATAAATACAAAAAACTATAGTTTTTGTATTTATAATATAACTACAGAAAACTTTATCAGTTGTGATATCAAATAGGTTTTGCGGCTCCAGACAAATTATATTTGGTGGAAAAAAGGGCAAAACGGCTCTTTGGATAGTAAAGGTTGCCGACCCCTGCCCTAAACGGACATGTAAATTGGGGCATCTCCTGGTGACAGACCTGAATAGACAGGGGTCTGATGAAAACTGCATTGAGTTTAGAAATCGGTGAAACTGGTCCTCAGCAACAGTTATTTGAGTTTATCGCAGAGGATAACCTTGGCAGATGAGTCTGTGGGTGTTTGTGACCAGAGAGAGACATAATTAAACGACAGCCGGATATGACTCAGCTAGACTCAGCTAGTCTGAGGAAAAATACACCTCATGTAGCATAACATCAATAACTGAACACATCATCTAATCAGGTTGCCGTACCAAAAACTCGTGACTAACTAAAAAAGCTTAAATATAAGCCAGTGATCTGTTACACGAGGAGCTCACGAGTGCAAAAATCTGCAGTATATGCAAGAACATATGCTTGTACTGTGGCTACCACAACAGTCTTTACTCAGAGTAAGCCTATGTTATTATCGCCAATAGAAACACTGGACAAAACTGCCAACAAAAAAGCAGATGTTTCAGGATTTAGAGGCCTTCAACGTACAATCTTTCCAATGGTCTCTGGTTGCCAAAAGGAGTTTGATTGTAGAATCTATGAGAAAATTACCCATTTGTATGAGTAAACTCGAGTGTAGTTATATAAACACAAGTTTATCATCCCAATCTCTAGTTTCAAGTGTTCTTCAATACAGCATGATGCTCATTTAGAAAATGATGGTCCATTTAGGGTAGACCATAGACCATAGACCATAACGCATAACCTTGTGATCGAAAAGTTGCTACCGCTGGGTTGCTACCGCTGGGTTGCTACCGGAGTTTATATGAACACTTGACTATTCTTTTCAGACAGACTATATTCATCGATAAATGTCTTTTTCTTACTTGCTCTTAAAGTCCAGTTTTGCTCATGTATTTCGTGGATGTTAAATGGTCAAGTACATTTTGACTTAAAGGTCAACAAAAAAAGATTACCCCCTGTCATCCTCCACTTGCACCCCTACAGAGGTAAACTTGGATGGGTCCTCTGGATCTGGAACCTCCTCCGGTCCATCCACCTACAGGAGACAGGCAGGATGAGTCCATTATAATCACCAACAATGAAGCACATTATTTGCTTTATTTTGTCTCTCCGCCTTCACTGCTGTCTCACACATACCTGGATACCTATGGAGAGACATTTGCCCTTCCTGAGTGCTTCTTTCCTGTATACGTCCCGGCGGTCTTCAACAACTGGCCCCCTGCTCAGGACTGAGGGGGTGGGGGTGCTGACTGTCATGGTGCTGTTACTGACGTGCTGACTTGCTGGTCCATGGACCTACATGGGAATAATGACAAGAGACAAAATGCATTGTGAATACACTGTTTACAAAAGCAATGAAAAGTGTTTTTTTAAATTTTGGTAGCTTTTTCAAAGTTACAATCTGCTAACTGCACAAAAAAAATGTTGATTTGTATCAGTACAAAGCACTAACCTGTGCATTAGCAGCTTCTATGGCGGCTGTCAGGGCCTTCATGCTGTCGATGCTTTCTGTTGAGTTACTGAGCCCTGATTGGATGGTCATGTCACCTCTGGGTCCCTCCTCTTCCATGTATGCATCCTGGTTGGTTTTAGAAAACATGGAACATTGCTTTCAAGACAAGGGTTAATATGACCATTAAATATCACATCAAACTTTATGTCAATAAGCTGGAGGTGCACAAAGTCATGACTGTTTGAATCATCTTCTGTTCTAGACTAAAAACTCATCTGTTCAGACTATGGCCAGTAAAAATGATGAATACATAGAAAATAAAAACAGCTTTATCTTTTATTTAGTGCTGGGCAAGTTAACGCGTTAATTTCGCGTTAACGCATTCATTAATTAACGCCGACAATTATTTTATCGCGCGTTAACGCATTTTTAAAATTTATTATAATATATATATTTTTTTTTTTTAATTGAAAGACAAGAGACAATGCATATACATAACAATATATGTGTGTGTGTGTGTGTGTGTGGGAATGTGTGAACATGTGTGTGTGTACGTATGTCCTTGAGCCTTTTGAGATGGGAAAAATAAAAAAGTTAAGTTCTCTACTTAACCAACACCAGTTACGTAACAAACAGACTATTTTATGTAACAAACATACTTATTTTCACCCAAGCCACAATATTTTTCTTAAACCTAACCTAGTATTTGTTATGTAAGTAAACCTAAAAGCTGAGGTAAAACTACCCTCGAAGTTATTTTGAAAAGACACTATTCATTTAATGAGCGGAAACTAACGCAAGAGGGGAACGTAGAGCTTCCACGTTTCAAGCATAGGGCCACTGACCAAGCGTCGGTATTTGACCAGTTGGGAGTGAGAATGTGTTGTCCATCAACAGGAATGGGGTACAAAACATTTTGGGTAACGAGTCCAGCCAATTTAGAGTGAGACAATATAACATTTGCCGAACAGTGGACACTGTTGCCACGAGTAAGTAAGTTTTCTTGGAAAAAGGAAGGAGGTATTTTCGGGAATCTTGATCCTGGTGTTTGTACCTCCAGAGTGACTTCTTTCCAGTCAAAACAATCTGAACCACATAGGGAAACGCTCCGCATTTCAAAGTGTGCACTTCCATAAGTGCTATAGCCCTCAGGGTAGTCTCACCCTTACCTATAATGTACATTACTTCACAAATAGATGTGTTGATGTGAATACATGAGGGACGAAGTAATGTAATAGACGTGTGCAGTACCTGTGCAGACTCTGTGCTGCTCTGGGCTGTGATGGAGATGTAGGGCTTGGAGGCTGTGGAGCAGGTGGATGTTCGGGGCGGCACTGGAGGAGGGGTTTTCTTATAGGTGGTGATGCAAGATGAAACTACAAGAAAATGAGAAAGGGGGAGGTGGTCTGGTTTTCCAATTCTAAACAAGCTCAAGTTACATTTTACTTGCAAGCAATTGAAACTGCAAATGTACTGCAATGACATTCAGATAGATGTACAAATAATATTGGATCTGAATCCAGCCAGACTGTGGTTAGTCCTGTCACGATAACTACTTTTGTTGGACGATATTGTCCCAGAAATGATTGCGATAAACAATATAATTTTAAAAATATAATTTTAAAACCATTTTATGCCACTGATATAATCATAACATAATATAATAATGAAAGCACACCCATTCAAAGAAACTTTTAATTCTTAAGAATATACAGACATTGGAATTGGCATGTGAAAAAATATCAAAATATTCTATATACAGTATTTGTGCAATGCCCAAGTCTTATGATGGTGGCGAAAACCCTGCGGTTTATTCTGGCTTAACTTAAAATGATCAAGGTCATGTCCACATATCGTACGATAAGTCGCGAACATAAACATGATTGAGGTCATGTCCACATATCGTACGATAAATCG